ATATAAAAATGACGTGGAAAATCCATTTGGCATTTAAATAAAAGTAAAATGAGTTGGATATTCCGAGTTGGCCAACTAACACCCAAAAGGGCATATGTAGACCAAAAGTTGGACGGCGAGGGTATAAATGGACCAAACTTTAAACGGAGGGTATATCTAAACCTTTTCAAATAGTTTAGGGGCATATTTGACCCTTTTCCCATCAATTTATAAACCTTTCCCAACAGATCAAGTCAGCTCAGATATCTTAAACTTGTCAAGTGTTTTAACATTGCTTGAGGTTTGGCTGTAGCCGCCAAGAACTTGCCGTTGTTGGAGGAGTTGCACATTCACTTGACCTTTATTAGCGAAGAGGATATAGAAAGTGTTGGTCGTTATTGTCCTATGTTTAAGTCATTCACATTGAATGCCAGTGAATATGATACTTTTGGAAATTTAATATCTGCAGATGATGGTCAAGCTCTAGCCATTGCCAAAAGTATGCCTGAATTGCGGCACCTTGTACTTATTGCAAATACGTTGACAAATGTTGGACTTGAAGCTATTCTTGATGGCTGTCCACACCTTGTATCACTTGACTTGCGCTGCAGTTATAATATTGATCTTGGAGGAGATTTAGGTAAAAGATGCAGAGAACAGATTGTAGATCTTAAGCAACCTTGTGCTTCCTGTCAAGATTATGAGTTTTATTCTGAATTTTCACATTACTGTTTCTCTAATGATAACTTCCTCCGCTTCAGAGACTATATATCTTGAGAAACTAATGTGGCTTGTTTGATGGGAATGTGGAAGAAGACAAAGGGATTTTAGTAGCAGTGGTTTTTCATCTTCCTTTCTTTTTTCAGAACAAAAGTGGTGGTTGCATTTGTTTTTGTGATGCTGTGATAAATCGATCTTAGCTTTTGTTAGAAAAGACATTATATTTGTGAGAAATGTGGTAGTTTGATTTCTATGTCAAACAACTTTTAATTATGGCTTGTTGCATTACATAAATCTATTACTACAGCTCACCTCCTCCACTCGTGAAATCACCACCTCCACCAGCATACATTTATGCTTCTCCACCACCTCCAACTCACTAGTAAGTATTTCTAGGAGCTCAACCATTCTCCCGAATCAATGAAGTGAGTAGCTATTTGAATTGTGATATTTTTTATATAAGACTTTTCTTTCATCCAAATAAATCTCTAATCTTCTATTTGGTTGTTTCTATTCCGATTTCAATTTGATGCACAAAATGAATGGTTTCTTGAGGGAAAGATTTCAAACTCCAATGGCAACAATCATCAATTAATTTATTGCATAAGTTCTTCTATTTTACAATTGGAAGATTGATACTTCCTGTCATGGACTAGTTTGCTTCAACTTCTCCTCTGAACTTCTTTCTCATTGTTCTCACTGCTTGTTCATGGAGAAATATATAGCTTCAGTAACTTAATTATTCGTTACAATAACTTAATTATATGAGCGTTGATATTTTATTCCTTAATCCATTAATCATTTCCTATTAGTTATAATGTTATGTTGTTTTCTTGTACTTTGTACTCACTGTAAAATCATGAATAATAAGATTAATTTCTTAACTTCACTTTTTTTTGAAATTATAGTATTTGTTCTTTACACTACAACGTCATTTAAGGTGTAATTATATTTTTAAAGAAACTTTGCATAGGTAGCTGAGTAAGGGCTTTAAACATTAACATCACCACTGTAAGTTTGAAGAAGTGAATTTTGAATTATAAATATAGAAGGTGAGTTTAGATTAAATGAGCGGTGTCGTAAAAACATGTTTTTTTCTTTTCAAAAGCTCTTATATATAAGACTAGATAACTTATTCGCGCTTCATGCTGTAATCCATGACATCATTAAGATTAATAGTGATTATTTTTTAATATGAATATTAGGTATTATATATATTAAGAACTTGAATATGTAGGAAAGAATCCACTATATTAAGCAAGGACAAAATAAAAAGATGATGACTTTTCAATACAAGTACCTATTATTGAAATATTAATGATGAATAGTTGTTTAAAAAGCATAAAGGTCTAAAAGAAACTTACTCCCAATTCAACATCGTACCAATGAATGACCAATGTCTCAAGATCCAGTGAGCTCTGTAGAAAGCAGCAAATTCCAGGAAAGTCTAACTGATTAAATTCTACATCAAGTTTTAAGAATTTCCGGCTTGATGGTGGAAACTCCCACCCTTTCAACTCCAAGATGGACAAGCACTTACAACGGAAATAGACAAACCAAAATATGTTAAAACAAGGAAATATGATCCTATAGTAAGTAAAGAGTCCCTAAAAAGAATCTGAATTTAACACAATGAAACGTATGAATATACCTCGACGCACCAGGATCCCAATGTAAGATTTTCGACATGGGCAACACTGTGAAAAAGCTCCTTAAAAAGACTACATTCCTTCTCCAAGTACTGTTCTTTCCCCAAATCAAAATCAAAATCAAAATCTAAACAAAGCATTGCAGTAACAAGTGATGCCACATTTATGATGCGTATCTCGCTGCACCACCCCATGATTTCCAATATTTTAATGTAGGGGGCTATTAATTTGAGCCCTAGATCATGGATCTCATTTTAATACACACGCATAATCAATTCTCTCAACTTCACAGAGCTTATTTCCAAACGATGTATGCCCGAAAACTCATCCAATTCTAAGTACACTTCAGATAATACCTTCTCCATTACACCATCTATGAATTCCATGTTATACATTGAAAGAGAAACGAGACTACTCCAGTTAACATTGCCAAAAGGGTTCAATTGGAAGTGAACTAAAAACAAACTCTTCAACGATGCATTTTTATATGCAAATTGAGGAAACTCATACCTTTGGTTATCTGTATTAAATTCAAGTCCAAAATTTTCAACATTAGCAAGTTTAGTTGCAAAATGTACCCACAAATCGACATCTTTAGAAAAACGCTGCACATACTTAAGGTCCTGCACGTTGAGTTTTTGAATTTTCTCGTAAGACCTCCAATAATAAAGTTCTCTGTGGATAGAAACTAGATAATCAAGAGTGTCAATTTCATTGTCACTAGCCGGAAACTTGAAATTGAGAGATATTGGAACCGATTTCCAAAGAAACCTCCATCGTTCAGATAATACGCTGGTTCTCACAACTTCTTTATTGTTTGGCAACATAGATAGGATGTGAAGTAGGATTGAATTGGGCAAATTGCTGAGTTGGTCTCCTCCCGCCATGGTTTTCCTTTGAATTTACATGGATTACTAAACATTAATCGACTTATGACATATAAAATATTAACTTCTATACCATGTTCTAATATGCAAAAGAAACAATCTACATAAATTACCTACACAAAGATAATAATTAAAGATCAATTTCATTAAAATAGACAATAATTAAGATTCCTTAAATCCTCGTGTTCTTTCCTATAAATTTCATCACTTAAGTTAGTAGTTTAGATTTGGAAACAGGATCACATTCACATGCTCAAAAACAATCATAAAGTCAATCAAAATAGTTTACGGAGATACTATTATCACATTTTCAATGGCGGAAAGGCAAGAGTTTATGATTGGAGAGGATTCGCATCAAACAATGAAGTTTAAATTATCCCATGGAGTGACAGATTTGAAGGAATTAAAGTCAATTTTATTGAAACATCTTGGTACCTAGGGAAATTTTTAGATTGGCTTACTTGATCCAAGAAAATTTTTGTTGAGGTTTGATCAATATGAAGTTTATGTACTAGTTTCATCTCGCAAAGTTATCTTCCCTACAATGGAGAGGAGCACCAATACAGGGTTTTTTCATGGTCTATTGGATATAATCCTAAGGAGCAAACAACATAAGTTGTGTCAAACCGTATAATGTTGCAGTTTGCAGATGGAATTAATATGGTAGTTTTATCGAGGTTTTCCAGGAGATTGTGTATGATAATCTACCCTTGTGTTGCAATTATTGTAAGCAACAAAGTCATGGTTGAGATATTTGTTGCCTGATCAAAAATAAAAATAAAAATAACAAACAAATTGATAATATTATTGAAGTTGCTTTAAAAGGTACTACAGATAGTGATAAGTATCAAGGTGATGTGAGAGAAATGGTAAATGAAAAATGAAGGATTGTAGATATCGATCAAAGTAAAACTACTTCTTTACATCGACAATTGGATGCTGCCACTACTTATCATTATTTTATTGATAAGGTGTAATATTATTCCTTGTCATAATGAGGGAATTTATTAGAGAAATCACATTTAAATACCAACTCTGATTCCATTATGAATATAAAACGTACTATCATAATTTGCTAGATCAGAGACTTATATGTTTTCTCCTTTTGGAAGCAGATCATCTGCAGTAACCACGACTCGAATTACTAATCCAGAAACTCTATACGGGGAATGCATGCCCTAGTTCCACAACTTACTTATCCTCAACTATCAACTCCCTAAACCTAGCCGTTCACTAGGTTGTCTAAAGTATGTTTTCCAACACCCATAATGATGTTTATATAGACAATATTAGGGCGTTGGGTTAGATTAATTAATGGGCCATCTAACTTAGGTAACACATGTATGGTTCATTAGGCTCAGAAGGTGTTTTTACTTGGGAAACTTACATAAATCATATATCATGCATCATATATTTATATAAAAGAGAATCTTAGGCCCCACCTATGTGACGCCACATAAATCAGAATTTCCTTTTAAATTTATTTATTTCCAAAACTAGCCTTCCATTTTCATGAAAAGTTGTAACTTTTTTGAAAAGATGTGACTTTTTTATTAGGAGTTGTGACTTTTTATGAAAAATTATGACTTTTATGAAAGGTTGTGATCTTTTTTTAAATGTTGTAACTTTTTGAAAGAGTTGTGACATCTGCGATAAGACACAATAAATATTTGTTCATACTATCCTATGTTGTTTATAAATAGAGGAATTTCTTGCCTCTATATTGTAGGTTTTTTCCCACTATAGTGTAGTCAAATTCAAATACATTAATTGAGTTTTTATGAATTTTGTTTCGTTCGAAAGTTTTCATGGAGTTTAATATGTACTATATGTCATAGTGATTCATCCAACTTTGGTAATTCTTTTTTCTATTATGATGATCTCTATATGTCATAGTGATTCATCCAACTTTGGTAATTCTTTTTTTCTATTATGATGATCTTTTTTAACTTTGTTAAATGTCAGCAAGGATGATTGAAAATTGATCTTCTCTTTTGTCCCTTTCAACATGCTTCTTCATATGAACAAAGCAATTTGATTTCAACTGCAATGCCACATATCTACTTTTGGACCTCTTAGTGCACAACTCATAACGTTGGTGAAATGGTTGATGGTTGAATTCATTACCTTTGGTTCTTTAGTAAACAAATCTTTTATTTCTGTCATAATATTTTTTTTTTCAAATTCAAATACATTAAGTATACTTCTTATAAAGTGTATTTCATTTCTCAAAATTTTCTTCCACCTGTTTTATGAGGCTTAATTTTTTTTACTATAAACCATACTGATTCATGTATCTATTGCAACTTCTTTCTTTGCTATTTTGTGACTTCTTTTTGAATTATCTTCAAAATTCCAGTGAACAAGATTGAAATTATATCTTCTCTTTTGTCCCTTTTTACTGCGTTTCTTCATATACTTTTGGAAAAATTGCTTGTGGGTCGTGCTATATTTGATAGCGCACAACAATAAATATTTGGTAACTAATACGGAACCAATGATAAAAATTGTTAAAAGAACCAAAATGATTGCTCTCTTGATTGCCACTGTTAGTATGTTATTTTGATTATTTTTTCTTAGGTACAAACACTTTGTATGTCATTGCACTATTTCTAAAATATTTGTATAGAGACAATTAGTTCAGATCTTTTATTGCAAGTTAACTAATTTATCATACTTCTTTTGTTCTATTTTCAGCATAATAAGATATCAACTTTTTGTGAAACGAACAAATGTCTAAAATACACTATAGCAAAAATATTTTTTATCGGCAATAAATATGCATATTCACAAAGAGTGCTACAACCTTTACCGAGATTAATTAATTTCCATTGAATTCAATGTTGTTATAGACTTTACGACATTTATACAGAGTACTAATTGCCTCTCAAAATACTAATTTAACGATAATTAAGCTATTAATTATCATTAAAGATTATTTTTATTGTAGTGATAACTCACCTTTTTGATAAATATTTTAATTTTCGATAAAGATGTAATAACTCATTCTGGCTTCTTTGAATTAAAATTGTGAAGAGTAATCTTGGATACGACCCGAAAGACTATCTTTTTGAAAAAATATATTAAGCACATGACTTTGCCTTCTTGATTGTTAGGAAATTAAGGTTGTTTTTATGATTATTTTTGTATATTTTTGTGATAAATCATAAATTATGTTTTGAGATTTTAATATATTTTGTGTCAAAATTTTGGTTTAGTATATCCGGTTGTGAACATTCAGATGCCACCTACTGCTTGGTTGATAATTGCATTAACTTTTTGTAACTGCATACTATAACAATAACTATAATAATAACTATGTTGTTATCCAAATAAGCTGGGGCCTGTGATATGAAACCTTAAAAATAGTAGTGACTATTTTGAGACAATGACAAAAAACACTTATGATAATAACAACTTAAGGGTCATTATCAGCATATACTTGATATGACATATAATAATAAAAAAGAGATTGATTGAGGTTCCTACAAAAGAAGTCCAACATCGTCCATTTAAATTTAATTAATTATGATATTGAATGGACGTGATGTTCCACTTTACTGAGAGTGTTGTTGTTCAACATTTTTTGATCTCTTTTTTAACTTCTAATGTTGTTCTTTATGTTTTCTTAGAATTTAAATTTTTTTATTACATCTTACCAACAATTTTCAGGGATATTTTCTTAGACTTTTTTCTCATACTTAAAATTGATTATGACTCATAATTTTTGTATAAAAAAATAAAAAATTTAAAAAATATAGGACTTTAAGATTTTGGAGAAACGCTTTGCCTCAGGATAAAATATCTTTTCCAATTATGTACCAAAAATACAAATAGTATCGAATGATCATATGTAAGCCTAGCAAAATAGTTCAAGCCATTACTGAAGCACGTGATCTAGAAAAGTTAGTTATGGATGAACTCATTTGAAATCTCATGACCTACAACTCAAGAAAAAACAAGAAAAGGAAATCGGATGCAAAAGAAAGGAAAAGAATCGGGTTCTTACATGCACAACACCAATAGATTTTGAGGATGAAAAATATTGCGCTAATGAATAAAAGTTTCTCTAGAATTAAAAAAAGGGGAAAACTGTTCAAAGGAAGGAACTCTATAAAAAGCACTGAAAATCCAATAGATCAAGAAGTGTGGATGTCTGGATAACTAAGTTTTGTCCATTAAAAGCTCTCGAGAAAAAGAGGAATAGTTCGGAGAAAGAAAAGGAAATCAAAAATGATAAGTACATTCCCACAAACAAACGAATTACCAATCAAGAAACTGGTCTCTCAATAAAAATGGCCTTTACCGCTATGGAAGACTTATTAGAAAAAGAATCTGAGGATGAAGCGTTCAAAAATTAATCACTATTGTAATAGAAAAATCAACTAAATATGATTTTTTTGCACTCATAATGATGTTTATACAGACAATATTAGGGCGTTGGGTTAGATTAATTAATGAGCCATCTCACTTAGGTAACACATGTATGGTTCATTAGGCCCAGAAGGTATTTTTACTTGGGAAACTTACATAAATCATATATCATATATTTATATAAAAGAGAATCTTAGGCCCCACCTATGTGGCTCCACAGAAATCAGAATTTCCTTTTAAATTTATTTATTTCCAAAACTAGCTTTCCATTTTCATGAAAAGTTGTAACGTTTTTGAAAAGATCTGACTTTTTTATTAGGAGTTGAGACTTTTATGAAAAATTATGACTTTTATGAAAGGTTGTGATCTTTCTTAAATTTTGTAACTTTTTCAAAGAGTTGTGACATTTGCGATAAGACACAATAAATATTTGTTCAAACTATCCTATGTTGTCTATAAGTAGAGGAATTTCTTGCCTCTATATTGTAGGTTTTTTCCCACTATAGTGAAGTGAAATTCAAATACATTAATTGAGTTTCTAAGAATTTTGTTTCGTTCGAAAGTTTTCATGGAGTTTAATATGTACTATATGTCGTAGTGATTCATCCAACTTTAGTAATTCTTTTTTCCTCT